AGGGATTGCAGTTAAGAGATTGCCAAGAGACTCTGAACTTTGGACTTTTAAACAGTGTTGAGACTGTTATAGACTCTGGGGACTTTTGAAGTTGGATTGAATGCATTTTGCATCATGACATTGCTACAAGCCTATGGGGATTAAGGAGTGGAACGTGATGGTTTGAATAAATAAGATCCCACAGTCTCATATATTTGAATGATTATCATCAGGGAGTGGCTCTGTTTAAGAGAGATTAAGAGGGGTCTCCTTGTTGGAGTGGGTGTGTCCTGGTTTGAGGACGTGTGTCACTGTGGTGGGCTTTTTTCGAAAGTCCAACCCAGGCTTAGTAGTCCCCACTCTTCCTGCTGCTGAGGATCCAGATGAAGAACCCCCAGCAACTTCTCCAGCACCACATCTGCCTGCATGCTGTGACACTGTCCATCATGATGATAATGGATAAACCTCAGAATCTGTAAGCAAACCCCAATTAAATGCTCTCTTTTATAAGATTTTCCATGTTCATGGTGTCTCTTCACAGCAATAGAACACTGACTACAACAGCTTCTTATTTATTTCTTATCTGGAAACACCATGGTTAATCCAGTACCAAAGTCCGTGTGATTCATGCCACCATAAAATTACCTTTGCCTGTGCTGACCATTATATAACTGTGATCACCTTGTCTTTGGCAATTCCATGCTGCCATTTGTCTCTGATACCTTGGGACCCAATGGATCCCATTGTCTTTAATTCATCCAGATGAGCTGCACTGACCAGCAGTATCCCAACCCTAAGGTCTGGCTCAAGCGAAAGATTGACAACAAAACTTGCTGGTGCCCTCATCACTCTGTGACTTACAGGATCTGTGAAGGGTGTGTCTTCTGGACTTCCCATTGTGGAGGGTTAGGTTTTACACAGCACACTCACTCCAGCACTGCAATTTCCCTGAGCCTTAAAATCCCTTCGTCAACACTGAGCCAAGGGATGTCAGGCAGCTCCAAGTCCTTTTCAGAGGCCATCTTTGATAAGTGCTTCAGACAAACATTAAAACAAACTTTGTCACCTTTCTAAACTGTGAGAGCTTTCATACAGAATCTAGAATCTGCACTTACAGGGCCCATATCAATAACATAGTGTGACCCAGTTTTAGGTTCCTTCCACCATTATTCCACAGCCTTGAAATCCATTCCCACACATTCCCCAGACTTCCGCTAGAACGACTTAGTAACTTTTTGAGCTCTTTAGCTGTACAGCACATCCCCTCTGAGATTACACTTTCCACCTCCCCTGTAGCTGTCAGCCTTACCTGTGGTCTGGTTAGAGGTCCAGAGGTAACTACTGCTGGGTCCTGAGGGAGGTCAGGATGTCCTATTTGACAGTTCCTGCAGAGAAAGTCCCTGCTGGTTAACAGACAGTGAAGGATGAATTTGCTAATCAAAGGTGAAAAAAGCCAGCATTTCAGGTGTTGGGGCTGAGGGTGAAGAGGCTGCTTTCTCAGGTGAGATAAACCCTCCAGAATCTGAGGGTTCAAATTCTCAGCTTCAGTAGCACACATCCTCATCCCAAGTTACAGGATCCCATTTTCACCAATAAATTCCCTTACTAAATTTAACTGCTGCTTGAGAGTTCTAGAAACTTCCCTGGGTCCATGCTTTGCAACCTCTTTTGGTTTCCATGAATTTGCTTCCTCCCTTAAAGAAAATAAGATGCTTTCTGCACACAGGTTATAAGTTTGATGAGGGCAGGACAGCCTGAGACCCGAGACCCTTGGAGTCTTGTAAGCATGAGCCTGTGGGGCAGCTCAGCCATACTTCCCCCTCCAGTCTCACCCTCTGTGGGCTCAGGACAAGTCCTGCTGTTTTCTTCACCGGGTTGAACTATTGCCCTAGACTCTGATGCTTCTCTGTCACATTAAAAAGATGAGACCTGGAAAGCTGAAGAAAGAGGGAAGATGGGGACAGAGGCCATCACTATCTACAGGAACTCCCTGGATGCTGGGGATGCCATGGTCTTTTAGAAGTTACCATTTAAGTGACTGATTAAATTTTTTTGTTGTTCAGTGGAAATTAAAAACTATCACACAGGGGGCTGGAGAGATGGCTCAGAGGTTGAGAGCACTGACTGCTCTTCCAGAGGACCCGGGTTCGATTCCCAGCAACCACATGGTGGCTCACAACTGCCTGAAAAATCCAGTTCCAGGGCGATCTGACACCTTCACACCAATGCACATAAAATAAAGTTAAATAAATCATAAAAAAATAAAAAAAAAACTATCACACAGCTCAAGTGCAAAGAGGAGCACACAGAGTGTCTTCTTCCTGGAGTGAAGCTGTGGCCCGCTATGCGGAGCAGGTATATAAAAGGAATTTTTATTTTTAATTTTATACTGCTTTTCATTTTTTTTCAATTTCAGCAGTCTGTTTCAATCATCAGATCCTGTCCTGTTTCAGAGCTGACGTCATTGACTGGTGGTACAATGTTGACTCAACAGCCCTGTGCACTCTTGATGTGTAGGAGCGAGAGAGGGAGGCATTGGAGCAATCTTTAAAATGTATTTTTATTAGATGTATAGTTTGTGCATATGAGTATGCAGGTGCACCAGGAACTGGATCCCCTGGAATTGGAGTCACAGATGGTTGTGGAGCACCACGTGGGTGCTGGGAACTGAACAGTGACAGATGCTCTTAACCTCTGAGCCATCTCTTCACCCTCTATTGCAGCTTTTACAGAAGGAAACCACACAGCCTGGCTCACAGCAAGATGGCTCACCACAGAGGGAAACTAGATGCAAAGGAAGAGACAGTGTTAGTGCAGAGCTCTGGAGTGAGGGGTGCTGGGCACTGCTGGGGTGAGACCTGAGGGAGAAGGAGAAGGGTTCAGCAAGAGGAGACAGAAGCAAAGGGGGAGATCCTAGTGTTTGAGGGTATTTGTCTACAGATCACAGTGGACACATCTGCAGAACCCTGCAGGGCATCTGACATCCCACACTGAATACTGTGGGGCTTTGAATGAGAATGGACACAGGCTCAGGGGTTGGATACTTCAGATCCAGCTGATGGAACTGTTCGGGAAGGATGAGAAGGTGTGGCCTTGTTGGAGGAGGTGTGTTGCTGGGCTGGGCATAGAGGTTTTAAAGATTCCCAGTATTCCCAGGGTCTCTGACACTTGCCTGTGGATCACGATGTGAGCTCTCAGCTGTTCCTGCCACCACAGCTTCCTCTACCCTCATGGACTCAAACCTACTGAAACTTAAGCCTAAATTAAACACTTCCTTGTATAAGTTGCTTGGATCACAGTTCTTATCACAACCATAGAAAAGTAACTAAAGCCAGGTATAGTGACACAGTTTTTAATCCCAGGACCTGAGATACAAAGGCAGGTGGGTCTCTGTGACATCAAAGCCAGCCTGGTCTACACAGTAAGTTTCAGGACAGTAAGAGCTATGGACACAAACCTTGTCTCATAAAACACCAGGAGGGACCTGCAGTCAGACTCATTTCATCCTCCCCTCATCCTTCCTCTTCCTTCTCTCCAGTAGTCAGACCCTGAATCTTCTAGGAGAAAAGTCACTCCCAGGAACAAAATGGCAGCAACAAGCAGTTTGGGATGCAGGGCAGAGATGCTTCTCTTTAAAGCAGAGGCGCTGGCCTCAAGCACCACACAGAATCCCACAGAGACCAGGCTCCTGTGTTCACCTGCAGTGAGCAGCTCACACTGCCAAGCCTGATGCTCAGGGATCTCACCTGTAAACAGAGACTTTGCCTCTTCACTAGGGATCGTGTCTTCACAGCCTGTGCTTACACTCAGACTCCTAGTGTTTGTTCCCAGATGATCATCTGTGGCTCCAGGTGCTTGTGTTTTACATGGATCTTCATTCCATAGTCCTGAGATTGTCCGTGTGGACCTGGGTCATTGTCTCAGCACAGTAGACCCCTTCTCCATGGGAAGAGACCCCTGTGGAGACCAAATACAGCAGGGCACTGACCCTGTCTACATTTCACTTTTTTTGTGTCTGTGTTTACACACTTCCATGGTGCAGTTGCTTTAGTGAATAAACCACAGTCAGAGAGGACTGGAACTAATAATAAAGAGAATAATGATGATAGCTCTCTCTCTGACCTTCAGTCCCACTTTATGAGCTGATGAGATGAGAGAGATGAATGTCGCTGTGTGTGGGACACTGGATCTGATAACAGAGTTGGCTCCTGAGTTCCTCAGTTCTGTGCAGTGTGGACACTGGACAGAGGGTGATTTTCATGGCAGGGTGCACACTGGGGATTTAAGGATTCACCCTGTTCAGTAATGTGCGGAAATTCATATTTATATATTCTTTTGTTTTTGTGGATTTTGGTTTGATATCTTCAAATGGGAGTCACACATAGCTGAACTAAGAAGTAAAAGCAGAGGTGAGCAGGGGCTCCTTCCTGCAGAGTCATATAACACAGTGTGTCGAAAGTGCTTGACCAGAGCTGTGAAAAATCCAGTCACAGCCCCACACTCTCTCCAGGGCTCAGACAGCACCAGTTTCTGTGAACATTCTTTGTTGTTGTTGTTTGTTTTTCTAGACAGGGTTTCTCTGTGTAACAGCCCTACTTGTCCTATAATTAGCTCTTGTAGACCAGGCTGGCCTCTATCATCTCACAGAGATCTGCTACCTCTGCCTCCTAAGAATTAGAATCAAAGCCTCCCCCCTTCCCCCCACTGCCCGGCATGAACATTCATTTTAAGTGCTGTGTGTATTTTTGCTGGAAACTTCATGCTCTCAGGTTTCATTCTGACTAACCTGAGGAGCAGTTGTCCTTAGGCGGCTAAGAGACACCATGACAAACAGCGCTCCATCCCGCACAGGGCTCAGGCAAAGTCTTAGTCCCCAGGAGGGTGAGGTCTGGGTGGACAAGCGTGTCCCCAGTTTCACTTCTCCAGCTCCTAACCTGGGTCAGGTCCTTCTGCCCGGAAATTGATGACAACTTGGCGACTCTCAGCCCCATTGGGTGGCGAGATCCAGGAGAAACGACCAGCATCGCCCAGATTACAGGTTATAAAGTCCACGGAGTCCACGGAATCGGCGGAACTCAGAGTCGCCCCAGATCTGAGATGGGGGCAACGGCGCCGCGCACGCTGCTCCTGCTGCTGGCGGCCGCCCTGGCCCCGACCCAGACCCGCGCGGGTGAGTGCGGGGGTCCGGAGGGAAACGGGTTCCGCGGGGAGGGCGGGAGCGGCACCGGGGAAGCCGCGCCCCCCCCCCCCGTGGCCCAGCCAGACCCTCCCGCCCCTTCCCCACCCGCGTCCCGAGCCCCGCGCCCTGCTCCCCTCCCGGCCCGCGATCCTGCCCGGGGTCCCGGGAACAGGGTCGGGGTCTCACCGCGCGCCGCCCCCAGGCTCGCACTCGCTGCGGTATTTCCACACCGCCGTGTCCCGGCCCGGCCTCGGGGAGCCCCGGTTCATCTCTGTCGGCTACGTGGACGACACGCAGTTCGTGCGCTACGACAGCGACGCGGAGACTCCGAGGATGGAGCCGCGGGCGCCGTGGGTGGAGCAGGAGGGGCCGGAGTATTGGGAGAGGGAGACACAGATCGCCAGGAGCAACCAGCAGACTTTTCGGGTAAACCTGAGGACCGCGCTCGGCTACTACAACCAGAGCGAGGGAGGTGAGTGACCGCGGTCAGAGGTCACGATCCCTCCGCATCGCCCCAGAGTGGCCCCAGATCCCAGGTCCGAAGTTCGGGGAGGAGAACGGGGACCGGACCTGGTTCCCTTTCAGTTTGGAGTCCGCGGGTGGGTGGGGCTGCAGGCGTGGGTGACCGGGACGGGGCAGATGGGCCGGGCTGACCTGGGGTCCTCGCAGGGTCTCACACCATCCAGGGGATGTCTGGCTGTGACGTGGGGCCAGACGGGCACCTCCTCGGTGGGTACCGTCAGGAAGCCTACGATGGCCGCGATTACATCGCCCTGAACGAGGACCTGACGACATGGACGGCGGCAGACACGGCGGCGCAGATCACCCGGCGCAAGTGGGAGCAGACCGGTGCTGCAGAGAGATACAGGGCTTACCTGGAGAGCCGGTGTGTGGAGTCTCTGCTCAGACACCTGGAGAACGGGAAGGACACACTGAAGCGCTCAGGTGCGGGGCCGCAGGCAACTCCTCCCTTTGCCCTCGGGCTGGGCTCAGTCCTGAGGAACAGGAAACACTCACTGGGGTCATGCCCCTGTCTCTGTGGACAGACAGGGTCCCTGGGTCTCCTGATCCAGCATGGCAGGGACTGCACTGACCTCCCAGGACTCAGCCTTTTCCCTGGACAGTTCCACACCTGTCTCAGGAGGGAGGAGAGAGGATCCCGACATCACCAACAGTGGCTCCTTCTGTCTGCAGCCCCTGTCAGCCATGGCCTCTCCCAGGCTGGGTTCTCTGTCACACCCAGTGTGTGTGGACACTGAGTCCTGTCATCTGAGTGTGTCAGCCCTTACACACCAGGATTGAAGTCTCCTTTACCTGATGGGAGACATGGACTCCCCTACTCTAGGCTGCTTTCCCAGTTTCTAGAACTTTCCAAAGAATACATCCTCCCAGATTCCTGTGTGTGAGGTTTGCATCCTTCCCACACCCCAATTCTATCTCTTTCTAAAATGGTCTCGTGGGAACTTACTGGGTGCCCTGGACAAATACTAAAAGGGGGGAGGAGTTCTTTCTTTAATTCTTTTTTTTTTTTTTTTTTTTGGTTTTTCGAGACAGGGTTTCTCTGTGGTTTTGGAGCCTGTCCTGGAACTAGCTCTTGTAGACCAGGCTGGTCTCGAACTCACGGAGATCCACCTGCCTCTGCCTCCCAAGTGCTGGGATTAAAGGCGTGCGCCACCACCGCCCGGCTAATTCTTTTTTTTTTTAAGTTGTCATTTTGCTTTTAGTGAGTTTTTCTTCCTCACTGGGGTGATCTCTTTCTCCCTCCCCTGTGTTATCATGTGTATCAGTCTCCACAGGTGCCATGGGGACTGACATTCTGGAGAATTAGATAAGATAAATCAGGGTCCCCTTTAAATGAGAAAGATTCCTGGGATCTTAGATTATTTTCTGCCAGATTAGCCATCCAGAGCCCCTGCTCTCCCTCTGACCCAACAAGTTATAGTGTTGCCCTAGTGGATTAGGAACTGAACTTCCTCAGAGACAGGGTCTTCTGCACCTCCAGGACTGGAGTGACAGGGAAGATCCACACACCCTGTGAGCACCGCTGTGTCCCAGTGAGTGCTGCACTGGGCTCCACAGCACACTTCAGGGATCCTGGGTGACAATACCTGGTATCTTTTTTTTTTTTTTCGAGACAGAGTTTCTCTGTAGCTTTGGAGCCTGTCCTGGAACTAGCTCTTGTAGACCAGGCTGGCCTCAAACTCACAGAGATCCGCCTGCCTCTGCCTCCCGAGTGCTGGGATTAAAGGCGTGCGCCAACACCGCCCGGCAATACCTGGTCTCTTTCCCCCCCAAGAGGCAGGGCTAGCGCCAACACCACCCGGCAATACCTGGTCTCTTTCCCCCCCAAGAGGCAGGGCTAGGGGACTTATTTTCTCTGGCTGAGTATCAGAGTTTCACCACATTTTGCTGCTCACTGTGGTGATGGCTGTTCACTTGGATGGACAGATCAGCAATTGATCACAGTGGTTGTGCCTCAATGGTGGCAGCAGAAGTTGGTGGCACCTTTTGTGTAGCCCATGCCTCTTAATATCTTTCTTTTTTTTAATTTTTATTTATTTATTATGTATACAACAGTCTCCATGTATACCCACACGCCAGAGGAGGGCGCCAGATCTCATTACAGATGGTTGTGAGCCATCATGTGGTTGCTGGGAATTGAACTCAGGACCTCTGGAAGAGCAGCCAGTGCTCTTAACCACTGAGCCATCTCTCCAGCTCCCTTAATTTCTTATTTTGATATGAGTTTAATCACATGTATAAATCAATTATTTTCCATTCCTCCATTTGTTTACTACCTAACTTATGCTATAGAACATCACATAAGAAGACCATGTTGACCTGCTGGCTCATGTGGATTCCCTCTTAGCTTCTGGGTTCCCAGGAAACTGTGCAGTTCTGTGATGAGGGGACCAGCTCTACCTGCAGGTCACTAGTGTGATGACAGAAGTGTTCAAACAGTCACATAGTTTAGTGTCATCATTGATTTAACTTTTTCTTTGCAGATTTCAGTTTATCTTGTTAATTGTGGGGTTTCTTAAATCTTCTACACAGATCCCCCAAAGGCACATGTGACCCATCATCCTGGACCTAAAGGTGATGTCACCCTGAGGTGCTGGGCCATGGGCTTCTATCCGGCTGACATCACCCTGAGCTGGCAGAGGGAGGAAGAGGAACAGACTCAGGACATGGAGCTGGTGGAAACCAGACCTTCTGGAGATGGAACCTTCCAGAAGTGGGCATCTCTGGTGGTGCCTTCTGGGGAGGAGCACAAATACACATGCCATGTGTACCATGAGGGGCTTAGGCAGCCCCTCACCCTGAGATGGGGTAAGGAGGGAGTGGGTGCAGAGCTGGGGTCAGGGAAAGCTGGAACCTTCTACAGACCCTGAGCAGCGTCAGGGGTGAGAGCTGAGGTCATGACCCTCACCTTCCCTCCCTGTCCTTCCTTTCCCAGAGCCTCCTCAGTCCACAGTCCCCATCATGGCAGTCATTGCTGGTCTGGTTCTCCTTGGAGCTGTGATCATTGGAGCTGTGGTGGCTGTTGTGATGAAGAGGAGGAGAAACACAGGTAGGAAAGGGCAGGGTCTGAGTTCTCTCTCTGCCCCTTTTAGAAGAGCCTCTGCCTCATTAATGGAAAACACGTCCACATCCCTCATTGCTCTACCCTGGGTCTGCTGTCAGTTCTGGAAACTTCCAAGGGTCGGGGTCTTCCCTGGTCTCTCACAGCTTTTCTTCTCACAGGTGGAAAAGGAGGAAACTATGCTCCAGCTTCAGGTAAGAGTGGTTGGCAGGATTGTCCCTGAGGCCTGTGAGGTAAAGCTGGCATATTTGGGGAGCTCTGGTAACACATAATAGCTCCTCCAGCAAATCTTCTAGGGATCAAGTTTTTATCTTCTCATGAATACATATATTTTTACCCTAGACAGGGACAGTGACCAGAGCTCTGATGTGTCTCTCCCAGACTGTAAAGGTGAAACTCTTGGGACTGATTTGGGGAGGAACAAATTGGACATGATTGGATTTCAGAACTCCCAGAATCATGTTTAAGTGAGTGGTGGGTTGATGGGATGTTGTCTTCACAGTGATTGTTCGTGACTCTTGTTCTGTAGCATGAAGACAGCTGCCTGGTGTGGATGGAGTGACAGACGATGTGTCCAGGTCTCTCCTGTGACATCCAGAGCCCCTCAGTTCACCCTCAGCAATAGTGTCTGATGTTCCCTGTGATCCCATGGGCTCAATGTGAAGAACTGGAGAGCCCAGACCACCCTGCACACCTGACCCTGTCCCTGCACTGCCCTGTTCCCTTCCACAGCCAACCTTCCTGTTCCTGCAGACAGGAGGGGACATCTCCATCCTGTCACCTCCATGACTTCCACTGAAAATAAGGATCTAAACGCGAACTTGTTAATGTCCTGATCTGACAGGTTGTTTGGCAGCTAAATTAAATAATTGAGATAGAGTTTGTGGAGGAAATAAATGGCAGCATGGAGAACCTCCCAGAATCTGTGTTCTGTGCATCTGGTGGGACAGGATGAGGCTGTGAGAGCTGAGTGAGAACAGGGCTGTGCCCAGGTGGAGCTCAGTGCATTGTTGGCTTTGACAAGGTCACTCCTCAACTCTGTCACCTTCTGGCTCAGTTTTCTTCATCACTTAAAACCAAATGCTGACATCTGTGATCACAGGGACACTGGGATGGCCATGGCCTCGTCCTGTCTCCGGGATTATGAGCCTCCAGGGCTGCTGTGACAGTCAGGGTTACTGTCCTGGCTGTGGCTCTTTCCCCTGTCTTTAGTGTTTATTTCTTGTCTTTTTAGTTAGTATGGAGGACTAGGACTGTTCTTGCTCCTGTGAGTGGTGTCTGCTTCACTATCCTGTGGAGTCCCTGAGTGACAGCAGTAAGAGGTGTTTTCCATCCCTCTCCCCTGAAGGTCCAACTAGGCCCCTGTGCTCAGGAGACTGTGGGATGAGAACATGAGCTTCAGTCTCCTGAGCTCCTGCCTCCTTTCAGGCCCCTCCCTGAAGGTTCTCTCCTTCTTTCTCATCTATCAGAATCTAACCCGGGTTGTAGGATGGGCAGAGAGGAGGGATCCACAGGGTCTCATCTCAGATCTGTCTTGTGTTCTGCCCAAGGTCTCCTCTCCCCCTCTGCTTCTGGGAATCCTGGTGCTCCCTCCAGTGGAGACTCAAGGATTTACAGGCTGAGTCTACTTTAGATTTATGTTTATTAAAAAACTTGATCCAGGGACTGAAGAGATGGCTCAGGGCTTGAGAGCACTTGCTGCTCTTGCAGAGGACCCAGGTTCAGATCCCAGCACCCACCTGATGGCTCATAACCATTCTTAACTCCTGTTCCATGACATCCAATGCCCCTCTGGACACCATGCAGATTCATGGTGCAAACACTACTAACAAGAAAACACTCATAGATGCAAAATTCATAATTTAAAATGAAAAGATTGTGGGGAATGCTGGAGATGGAAATTCCTTCATCCTCTGCCCCATGTTCTGGCCTCTGCAGTTTTCTCTTCGAGCTTTGTGATGTCCAGTCAGGAGCTCCAGGAGCCCTAGCAGAGATGTCTGAAGACCAAGAAGGTGATGATCGCTGTCATGATTCTGCCATCTTCGTCTTGTGAGGGATGATGGATTCCAGTGCCAACCACAGCAAACATTCATACACAATAAGTATATGATGAATGAATAAAAGATACATACAAAATATAAGATCACACGATAAAGACGGAAGGAAGATGAGGGGAGAATTGGGGGCTTTCTGAGGGGAAAGTTCAGGTGACTGTGACCTCAGTGTGAGGGGACTTGGGGCTGCACTTGACATAATCTGTCTTTCCTGATTTATCTGCATCAGTATAGAATGTAGAGGCTCCAGGAATTGGTGTCCTTTCTTTATATGAAGGCAAATCCAATTAGATCTTTTTATAAACTGAAGTCTCCTGCTTTGGGGATATTTGTTGTTAATCCCTCCCAAAGCAATTACTGCAAGTCAGGGTTCTGCCCATGCTGAGGCAATTTCACCATGAGTAAAAGGTACCAGATTGTCAGCTGGGTCTGTTCCTGCTAATTGATGAAGTCCCATTTTTCCTTGCAGAATCAATTCAGAAACTGTCTATATTATAGGTCCTTATTTCTTTTTCTTGCTTTTTTGTTGTTGTTGTTGTTTTTGGTTTTTGGTTTTTTGACACAGAGTTTCAATGTAGCTTTGGATCCTGTCCTGGGACTAGCTTTTGTAGACCAGGCTGGCCTCAAACTCACAGAGATCCTCCTGCCTCTGCCTCCTGAGGGCTGGGACTAAAGGTGTGCATCACCACCACCTGGCCATAGGTCTTTATTTCTTTAATCTGTGTGCTAAAAATATCTACTCTAAAACATTATCTTCTCTCTGCTTAAGAATTCCTTTATAGCCAGGCAGTGGTGGTGCACGCTTTTAGTCCCAGCATTGGGAGGCAGAGGCAGGAGGATCTCTGTGAGGTCAAGGCTACAGAGTGAGTGCCAGGACAGGTGCCAAAGCTACACAGAGAAACCCTGTCCTAAAAACAACAACAACAGCAAAAAGAGAGAATTTCTTTATAAAAGTGAGTAGAAGGTAGAACGACTGGGGTACGATCAAGGTCTGGATCCAGATGATCCACATGTGCATCCTGTGATCTTTTTTCTACCAAAGCCAATTCTCTCTCAGCCTCAGATGATAATCTTGGATTATTTAAGACCTTATCACCTTATAAGATTTTAAATAAATTATCTCTTGTATAATTAATCCAATTGTGGGCTGTAGCCAGTTAACATCTCCAGCAACTTCTGAAGATCATGAAGGGTTCATAATTGATCTCTCCTGATTTGTACTTTCTGTGGTTGAATTTTCTGTAAACCTATCTTTTATCCTAGATAGAATCTCTTTTTTGTATTTTTTCAGGAGCAATTTGTAATCTCTAGCAGGCAAAATTCTCTTTACTTCATCAAACATTTTTCCTAAGGAATCTGCATCTGAAACATCCAGTAAGATATCATTCATATAATGATAATTTTTAGATTTAGGAAACTATGATTTAGTTCTCATGGCTGTTGTACAAAATGCTGACACAAGGTGGGGCTGTTAAACATTTTTTCAGGAAGAATTTTCCACTGATATCTTTCAATAGATTATTATAATAAGCAGGAACCAGGAAGGCAAATTTTTCTCCATCCTGTTCTTGTAAATATATAGCAAAACAGAAAAAAAGGCAGTCTTTTAAATCAATCACTATAATAGACAATTGATGTGGGATTCCCCTCTGTATGCTATGATTACTATTAATGAAGAAAGAAACTGCTTTGGACCTATAGCAGGGCAGAACTTATTTAGATGGGGAAAACTAAACTGAACGCTGGGAAAAAGGGAAGCCATGGAGCCACCGCTGGAGACAGATGCACTGAAACTTTGCTGGTAGGCCACAACCTTATGATGATGCACAGATTAATGGAGATGGGTTAAATTAAACATTCCAGACTCCTTGGATAAGGATGATAGGGGCTGAGGTGACTGTTCTAACCAAACAAAAGGCCTGCACTACCACCGCCCAGCCTCTATGGCTATCTAGTGTGGCTGTTGGAATTAAAGGTGTGCACCCCCACTGCCTGGCCTGTATGGCTAACTAACATGGCTGTTTTACATTCTGTTCTTCAGATAATCTTTATTTATTAAAATACAAATGAAATATCACCGGGCGGTGGTGGCGCACGTCTTTAATCCCAGCACTCGGGAGGCAGAGGCAGGCGGATCTCTGTGAGTTCGAGAACAGCCTGGTCTACAAGAGCTAGTTCCAGGACAGGCTCCAAAACCACAGAGAAACCCTGTCTCGAAAAACCAAAAAGAAAAAAAATACAAATGAAATAGCAATATACTTTCCCTAATAAAGGCTGTAACTAATATAAGAAAAACTATAGAAGAAGTACAATAACTATATACAATATATACAGGCAATAAACACATCAACAATATCTAATTCATTTGCATTTGACAAATTCAGAGAAAAAATACTTTATATTGATCCTATCTTGTGAGTCCAATGTCTTGTACCTAAATTACTTTCCAAGGTAGCTTGCTATCTGCTTCTGGTGTACAAGGAAAACTATAACTATCCAGCCTTCAACTCCCTCAGAGACCCAAGGAGGAAATAATATTAACTGATAATCAGGAAGTACAAGCAAGTGACTTCCAAAAATATAAGAAATGACAGAAACATCTGACTGCCTAGACTGTCACCAAAAGTTCCTCTGAAACATTCGGGCACCCATCTCAACCTACAGGCCTAGCATATCCGACAGACTTTTCTGTGGAGCAGGAAATTCTGAAGGGCTGTCCCTCCTTGTCTTGACAATGTTTATCAGTCACTCTCTTTTGTGTCCTTGTCCAATTCGGACAGCATGCTGTAGCAGTCTAGCCAAGGACCTTTTCATGCCCAGTGGCTTACTTTTGCTGCCAAGAAAGTAAACTCCATGTGGAGTTTTGTTGATGCCTGCTATCTTCTCTGAAGTAGATTGGTGCTGCCAGGAGCAGAAATTTCTCATTGTCCAAAAAACAAACAAACAAAAAAACCCTATGCTATTAAAACATCATAAATGCTACCATACTCTGTAGCTCTCTGAAGTGTCTGAAGATGACCTGTCTTTCTAAAATGTATCTTGGTTTGGCCTTGAAAGCATAACTAACATGACTACAAGTTTGATTAAAATAGGTGACTAATTATTAACCAGCATTTCTTTATCATCCTAAACAGTCGGTAATAATAAGTTTCAAGGACTAGAAACTTGCATTACATAGTTAAATGAGTTGTATAGGTATAATACTTTAAACAAGAGTAAAAATCTATGTATAATATGTTCTAACAAAATTAATTTCAAATTTGTATCTGAGGCTGGAGAGATGGCTCAGAGGTTAAGAGCATTGCCTGCTCTTCCAGAGGTCCTGAGTTCAATTCCCAGCAACCACATGGTGGCTCACAACCATCTATAATGGGGTCTGGTGCCCTCTTCTGGCCTGCAGGCATACACACAGACAGAATATTGTATAATAAATAAATAAATACTAAAAAAATTAGTATAAAATAAACAAAAGTTCAGTCCAATGCAAAACATTTAAAACTAGTAGTTATTTTTAAAAGTAGATTCATGAATCTACCTTTTTATCTTATTATATATAGGTATTTTTCTTTTTTTCTTTTTAGAGTAGAGTCAATAATCCTCCCTTTTAACCTATCATATCTATTTCCCCCTTTTTCTTTTCAAAACAAGTACTCTGTATCTAATCTCCTTTGTTCAACTTTTCTCCTGACCATAACTGATAACAACTGGTAACCAATCCCCCTAAACAATGACAAATATTCATAAACCGTGGAAAGGCCAAAAGCTACCCATGCCACCTTTTGGGAATGTGGGCATTGTATTCTTAAATTTACTTCCTTTTGTCTGGGTGGTGACAGTATCTTTAAGGGATTGTGGAGAAAAAATT